GTCATAAAAATGAAGGTGAGCAAATCTCATGAAATGATTAACATAATAATTTGCAATACTTTGAAGCTGATAAAGACTCACACTCATAGACTTCCAGATTCAGAAAGAAGTCAACGACAGTTACATGAGAAGGATGATCAAAGATGTTGAAATGACAGCAAAGTGACATTCTGTACCACCGGATTACTTATCATAGTCTTGTAAGCTTATGTCCACGTACAGCAGAGAATTGTGGAAAGTTTTTCAAGATAGTTATCTAAGATTTGTTACACCATTTTCCATAGCAGCATGTTAAAAAAGAAATTATAGTATAGGGAAGTAGTGCACATAATCATGCTCATCAGATTGAGTACAGTCAATAATAAAGGGATTATTCCAAAGGCAGGATCGGACCTGAAATAATATGTCATAGTAGAAAGTGCTAAGCTGAAGTGAATTACTTCTCTACACTGCAAGGGCTTACCTTCACTTCACAAAGGAAAAGTGTATCAAACAGAAATGTGTTACATTTAACATTTTTCCAAAAGAAAATATCAAACTGGCAGAAGCAGTGTCTAGATGAACATTGTACTGATTATGAAGTGATTTGAGTAAGAAGTCTTGTAACTTTGGTTACTGGTCTTAGTTTTTCATAATTTACTTATACACAAAATGCTTATGGATAATACTGACAAAACAAAACGGCTGTTTTACCACTAAGTGAAAATGAGGCAAAATATGTTCCTGAGGACTGTACACGAACTGAAAAAGATACTCCACTGTTTTTGTAAACACAGTCCACAGTTTTCATAATGCTAAAGTAATCTTAGAATCTTCCTTCCCCTGACACATGTCCTTTAGCCTACAAATGTAGATAAACAAAAGTAATAAAAGTGTATGAGCAGAAAATTAATTTCGGTTAATGTGTTAGTTCACAAGGGTCATTGATAGCTATAAATATTAAAACAAATGGATCTCTGTTAGACCAATAACTTATATATATATATATATCAGACAGTTAAGCTAAATTAAATATTTACCCATTGTGATTTTAATTTGTTGTTAACATTTTCTTTAATTACCGCATAGTAGAAGTAATTTACATACATTTACCTTTGATGAATTGATATCTACGATAATCTCAATGATAAGAAATATGCTTTACACAATGCTTTCTCTTGTGAATAGGTTTAAGCATCTTACCAAGTCTACTAATAATTATCACTCTATAACTTCATCCTAAAGAAATGGAAAACTAGTTGCACGAGAATTTGTTCGTTTGTCTCATAGCAAAGCTATATTGGGCTATCTGCGATGTCTACCACGGGGAATCGAGCCCTAAATTTTAGCGTTGGAAGTCCATATACTTACCACTGTCCCATAGGATACTGGATGAGAAATGTAAAAAGATATAAGTATTTTACTTTTCTTGTTTTGTATTTTGTACTTGTAATAAACAGATATTATAAACAAAACCTCTCTATAACATGGAATCTGTTAATCATGACCCTAGAGTTTCACATATCTTGCAAATATGACACAAAGACACAGATATATCTTCACATATACATTTTATGATAAGTGGTTGCTGGCCTGTGTGGATCAATCATTTGATACTCACTTGAGAAGATAGAGATTGTGGATGACTACAAGAGTGAAGTCTAAAATCATAAACCTGCATTAGACTAGGAGAAGCTTTCTCCTATATGTAGAGTGAGTTCCAGAACTTTACTACGTCATGGAGAGAATGACAATCAGCCCATCATTTGAAGGAGTCGAACTCTGGCCCAATACCTCTTAAGATGCTGACCATGTTGATTCATCTAGTGCTTTTATCAAGCACAATAAACTAACAGTGAAGAGTCATCATGCCCTAGCTTAACCTAGTCGTCCCAAAACCTTTTATGAAAGTTTCTACAATCATCTCAAATTGATAACATCCAATACACCTGAACCACATCAATAGACTGAGTCACTGATGGCAAGTAGAATGAAGATTTGATTTAACGGATAAAGTCTACCAGCCAACATCAACTCACCACCAGGTGTGGAAGCAGCAACCTCTAAAAGAGACTAAAATTTTTAGCAAGCTACGAACCCTCTCGAGAACAGAGGAAAGGTACTAAAGTCACAGGTCGTTTAGAGGCTTGTAATTGAGAAGAGTTGTTTCACAATGTGTTTACTACAACAAAACCTCACTTTTCCTGAAACTTCTAGGTACTGATAAAAACATTTGAAGATGATAGAGGAGCTCATGGATCTTTGTTTTCATTGTTATAATTCAGCGATTCTTATTAAAAACAGATAAATCCACCAGTGATCAATGGTATCATAAAGAAGAGTTTGAGCCATACATTATAACAATTCAAATAAAAGATTGCTTAAGTTTATTGTATCTTAGAGGAGACAATCTAACATTTACTTCTAAGCATGGAGCGTTATGAGCATACTGATATCAATCACTGATTAAACACCAACTGCAAAACTGGAACATAGTTGTAGTGGATTGCACATCAGATTTCTATAGTTCAGAAGAGGGTTAAAGCTTCAATCATGATCTCTTAAGAACTTCGCCAAATATACAGATGGATTTTGATTTGGTTTGTTTTTAATTTTGCGCAAAGCTACTTGAGAGATAACTGCACTAGCTGTCCATACTTTAAAAGTGATAGACTAGAGGGAAGGAATCTAGTCAACACCACCCTTCGCCGACACTTGGGCTAGTCTTTCACCAACGAATAGTGTGATTCACCATCACATTATAATGTCCCTATGACTGAAAGAGCGAGCATGTTTAGTGATAGAAATTCGAACCAGCAACCTGCAGGATGCGAGTCGAGCACCCAAACCACCAGGCCAATGAATTGTGTCCTCTGCATGCGAAGCCAAGCCCCAGAATGGCAGTTGCAGATTGTGAGGATACCTTTATGGAGGGTTTACAAAGTGAATCCATGTAGCATCACATGAGTGTTAGGAGCAGTTTGGTCCTTATTAATGAAGCCAAATCTGCGACATGCTAATATGTTTTGAAGTGGTCATGTCAAGCAAGTAGCCAGGAAGGGGAAAGCCAACAGCCGTAGTTGCAATGGCACTACTTCCACCTGAATGTGCTTCCAAGATTCCAGCATCTTTAAGAAAACTCAGTTTAACTGAGAGTTCCACCTCCACAAGAACCACCAGGTGTCATTGTGCAAGTGAATTGGTTTCTAATCAAAATTAAACTTATAGTTCAAATTGTGATATCCCTTATGCATACCTTGCACTTATTATAAATAAAAGCCATATGCTATTTATTCGCCCTGCTCACCAATTAACTCAAATTCTTTTGTAAGGCAGTAGCATCCTCCTCACAGACAGCAACACTCAAAACCTAGTGAAACCATAGTGACTATCCAACAAAATTATAAACCACAGTGTTATGGTGAAGATGATATATATGGTATACTCAGATTCACTGACAATTCAACAGATAAGAATAGTAGCCGCAGATAACTAGAAGAATGGAAAGAATTATATTGTAAAAGCAAAACACACTGAGTTGAAGAAGAGAGACTAGCCACAATGCCATACGAAATAAATTAGTCTTTATTCAAAGGAAAACAATATGTCAAAATAGACGAGTGAAAAAAAAACTTATAAATTAGAGAAGGAGAGATTCGAATTTTCTATCTGTTCTCGAAATGTCTTTTTTTTCTATATTGAGAGAATGTGAAGTTATATAGACGCATACAATTATGTCAGATGCTACCAACTAACTACATTACTGTTCATCCCATTGATGAACATGAGGAAACATAGTCTTTAAACATTTTTAAACTAAGATACGAAATGTCTAAAAAAATTAAAATTCTAATATAAAGTTGTTTTTTCTTTCTAAATCCTCCTGGTAGACAAAGAAGCTTAATATGGGTTTGATCTTAAACGACCAAGCAAGCAACCTTTCTAATTAATAGAAGAAGAACCATGGTATTTTCTCAAGTACCACAAGTGGTGCAGAATTGAATAATAAATGTAGAGAAGCTTTGAAGAAAAATATAATTTTACATCACATTTTATGTTGAAAATAAAGTATAAACATTCAACTAAATGTTTCGATTTGTTTCATCTGGACTAAATCGAATTTGCACGGATAATTGTTTTATCAACTTAAAATCCATGTTTGGCCCAGCTAAAGATGATCAGGAGTCCCTATTTTCAATTTTTACTGATATAATTTCAAATATATATAGTGATTGGTATGCAACCAAACTTTTTACATCTTTTAATCGTTTTCATATTGTTACGTCTCTGGTCGTTAGATAATTTTCCGTAAAAATTCTTTCTGAAGAAACTTTAGCGATACAAGTCCTTTCTTAAATAAAACTTGTTTATTCTTTCTGAATACAACTTTGCAATACATTTAATTTCCACAGTCACGCTATAATTCACAACAAACGTCTCACGTGCTCGACTCAACTGTCAATTACACACGTTGTTGCCGTCACTTCTTGGCGGCTTATATATACATGACTACATACATATCTAGTAGCCTGTCGAGACTTCAGGAAGGGACGTGAACGTTCGAGAATATGACGCGTTACTAGGGTCACGTGACCCCCGCTGTCGTAACAGTATTTTTTAAATATCTTAATAATACGTATTTATTATACTTCTTTTTTAACCATTTGTAGAAACTGTTGTAAAGTTATGCAATGTTTGTTTGAACTTACGCACAAAGCTACACAATGGGCTATCTGTGCTCTGCCCACCACGGGTATCGAAACCACGTTTCTAGCGTTATAAGTCCACAGACATACCGCTGTGCTACCGGGGGCTTTATGCAATGTAATATATATGAATACGACATCACTACAGCTTGCTAAATGACAAATTATATGATATTTGTATTAAAATAATATTTTATAGATCAGATAGTTAAAATGTTGTGTTTTAAAATACAGTAAATACAGCTTATCCTGGATATTGAATTCCACTTTATGTGTGTGTGTGTGTGTTTGATGGTTTGATTGTTTGTGTTTTCCGTGTACATTTGTTACTTAATTTGAACAGAAAGAAAAGAGGTCTCAATTGTACCTTGTTTCTGTTACTAACGCTAACTGACTGTTAGTGTTAGGCCAGAGTTAAGATGTCGAGTAATCAAGAAGAAAGCGTCCAGCAAAACCAGATAAACTTAGATGATACTCTCGGGGATTCTTCTTCTTCGACTGTTAGAGGTAGGCTATATTTGCATATTATTAAACGGTAACAATAAAGAAGACCTATCTTTTAAAATTCGATCGGATAAACTCGTGAGAATATGATTATGAGCCAAGTCATGAATCATCAAGTAGAACATACACTGAAGCGTTGTTGTCATATCGTAGTCTCTCGAACCTAACCGTCACAGTGTTACTGTAAGTTGAAATTAGAAAGAAAAAGAAAAGCCTAGGATATGGCTTTGTCACGCCGTAGTTTAACAAATCGGTTGAAATTCACCGTTCTGGAGTTCGACAATTTTGTTTTCGAAATACATCAATATATGCCAATTCCTCTAAAGTCAAAGGTGTTGGCAATTATTATATATGCAGTTCACTACTTTGTAATTGCCAACATAATTTGAGAATGATATAAGTTAAATTATGTAGGTTACATTAAATTATTTAATTTTCAAAGAATAACAAGGTGCAGTTTTGCTCATCAATGCCATTCTGTTTTCTGCTACCATCCTACTTCATTCTTCATATAGAATCTCTTTATCATAATCATATCCAACCCTGATATTCATCTACAAGTCTTATCTAATCTGTTTACAATATTCCTATGTTGGAGCTTCTGGAAAACCTGAAGGCAAATTATTCCATAACTTGACAATCCTTTGAAAGTGAACTGAAATGATAAACAGGTTAATGGATTGTGATACCAGCATCATACATTTATATAGAATGGTGATTTTAAGGTGTTAATAAAACATAAGTCTCAAAATATTTATGCTTATTACCTTTCAAATAGGATGCAGTAAATAATAATACTGTGACATGGAGTGCCACACATTTCCACATAAGATCAATGAAATTGTTTACCAGTAAACTTCAAATAAATGATTAGACTTCAAGGTAGTACATTACTTAACATTTAAGGATGGATCTTTAAGTCTATCTAGGTTATCCTGTCACTAAATAAAATATAATTACTTAAAACCAGCCCATTTTATTAAAATATTTATCAAGACTTTTCTTAAACTCCCTTGAATCTACCATATCTGAAGGCAACCCATAAACACATGGTTATCAGTTAGTAGAAATATCCCAGGGTCCCATGCTTTCAAAACAAACTCTTTTTCTATTACTGCAACAGTAACTTGAGGACTCGTATACCTGGTCCTGGGCAAGCCTTGAGCAAGACTATCTACTCCATATATGTTCATCAGCATCAATATCCTGACTTTTCAATGTTTGGTTTGCTTTCAGGTGTCCACTGATTTTCTTACTGATAACCTCTTCCAATGATATTGGTTACAGTTTCTTGCATTCTTCCTGTTTATCTATTTCACTTATATAAACAACATGTATGCTTAAGTGTTAAATAACATCTCTTCACCTTGTTAAGAAAAGTAGTTAGGCTTAATTACATAATTTACCAACAGAGTCTGGTTTTTTAAGGAATATCTGATGCACCTGTGAATTCTTATAATGTCTGTTCTTTAACATAACATAACACAATGTTCTGGGTCAAAATGGGACCTACTGGTCCATCTCGACTTTTCCATCCTCTAAACTAAATTAAAATGATTAAATAAAAAATATCTTAAAGCCAGCTCTTATTATTCATATACTTAAGCTTTTTCTTAAACTCACTTAACTTTATTGCCACTACAACATCTGAAGGCAACCCATTCCAAAGGCAAACCACCCTGTTAGAAAAATTAAACTTTCTTAGCTGAAGATGACTCCTATCTTTCCAAAATTTATATTTGTGTGTCTCTTAGTCCTAATATTCTCACTGTTAAATATGAAAAAAGATAATTCATCAACACTATCAATTCCCTTTACAATCTTAAACACCTCAATCAGACCCCCCTCCCCTCCTAACTTTTTTTTTTGACAAGAGAAAACAGTTTGAGAGATTTAAGCCTCTCCTCGTATGACAACTCCTCCATCCCAGGCACCATTCTAGTAACCATTCTCTGAACTCTTTCCAACAATTCAATGTCTTTCCTAAGGTAAGGAGCCCAAGACTGAATACAATATTCCAAATGTGGCCTAACCAGTGACCTGTACAATGCAATTATAACCTCTTTAGACTTGTATTCAATATTTGTGTGGATACAACCAAAAATCCTATTTGCCCTACCACTAGCAACATCACATTACTTGGATGGCTTTAAATGCTGATCGGCTAATACACCAAGATCCCTTTCCTTCATAACACCATTAAGGTTATTCCCATCCAAATTATACTTATAATTCAAATTATGATAACCCACTTGCATTATTATAATTAAAACGTATCTACCATTTATTTCCCCAACTCACTAAATGATCTAAATCCTTTTGCAAATCAGCATTATCCTCTTCACAGCTAGCAACACCCAAGTCATTAATATCATCTGCAAATATAAGTAATTTATTGACTATTCCTTCATCTATGTCATTGATGTAAATAAAAAAAGAAGCAAGGTACTT